GGGAGAGAGAGAGAGAGAGAGAGAGAGAGAGAGAGGCTTTTCTTTGATAGTGTTTAATTGGAATTGAAACATTCTGGGGCTGTAAACATTCTTTATTTATTCAGCACACATAAGCGGGCATTGTTTTATCACCATCATAATTACGGTGTCCTTTAAACTGACTGATAGCAGAGGAGATAAGGGAATGCGCCTGTAGCTCCAGATCAAATCGCTGGCTCTCCCCTCTCCCCGGGTCACCAGGATCCACACGGTCCTTGGAGATGAGGAGTGCCGGAAGATTGTGGCCTGGCCATCCCTTACGTCATGAAAGTGATTTGTACCACATTGCTAATTTGGTGCAATTCATAACCTCCCGATCTCCTACGTTTGCAACTGCTTTCCAGTTTGCAGGATGTGTTTTTTAAAATGTAGTTGCGCAGTGTAGAAATTAAGAATGATCACCTATGTGCAAGAGAGGATCTTATTTCCCAATGTTTGTTGCTTTACCTTTGTCTAATTAAAAATGCAAACTTTTAGGATCCTTTCAGAACAAAGCCTCACCAAATCCCCTTTACGTCCAAGGATTTGCAAATTTATAAAGGCTGCATTGAATTCAGCATGGGTCAAGGGGCAAAAAAAGGGTAGAAGGTCACTGCATTTTGATTATGGGTCAGTAAACAACATGGCATGTAGTATGTGTCCAGAAACTCCTGCTAAAAAGTATTTTAAAACTATCAGAAGTATCAAACTCAAGAAATAGTCTTAGCTCGTGGTGATTATAAATTGCACAAAATTCTAGTGTGCAAGTGACACCCCAGCCCCCACGAAAAAAAACACAACTTAAAAAGCACTTAGCAGAACTCTGCATTGCTGCTTTGTTTACCAAAAAAAAAAAAAAAAAAAAAGGGGGGGGGAAAAAGACAAGAAAAAGGGGAAGAAAAAGGAAGAAAAAAAAAACCAAACCAACCCTGAAACTCCTAGGCATAAGAGTGTTAGCCAGATTATGATTTTTTTATTATTTTTTTTTTTTACAGACCATTGGTTGGCATTTCTTTGTCCTACACATTTAGGAGGTTTAGTTATACATTCTGATTTGTTTTCATACTAGAATTCATGGCAAATTTTAGGTACTACAGTCACATTTGGCTGACTTTAAAATGGCAGAAGGATCCTATTATACTGTTCTTTGACCCTATTATATTTACGTTACTGGACTCTTTGTGATAGCCTCTAGCTGCTTTCTATCTGTGTCTTCCTTGAGCAAACTATGCCCAGCAATATCTAAAAGCAGAGTGTAGTGTTCGAAAACAAGTTCTTATTTGAAATATATATTTCTGCCCAGCGTCACAAAAGCAAAAGGTTTATTTAATGCTTGTCAGTACCTGAGAACATGGTCCAGCACTTAACAAATAATAATAAATAATAATAATACTCTAATAATGTGGCAATCCTAGTGTGAAAATGCACATGACCTCTTAGGTTTTCCCGAAGATTTTCAAAAGAACTCTACCCATTAGTACAACCGCCAGTGGACATCGCTGTTGCATTTCCCAACGAAACGTTTAAAAGACTGTAAATGGTGTGTGCATTACTTCATTGCAGAAGGAAGAGGTCAGGCTGAATTGCACTGGTATTTAAACATAATCATACTATGAAAATAAATCAAAACGTAACGTAAAAGGAGTATTTTAAATGTTGCACACATTTTCTTTCTGGAGCGACGCAGTTAAGCACTTCCCCGCGAGCATATATATTTTAGCTCAAGTTTACAAAAATGAAAGTATACATTTTCCAATAAATGGGAATAGGTCTGCAGCGAGGTATGATGAATATTATTTTGCTCTTTCTTTTCTAATGAGGTTTATCCCTCGGCCAGACAGCTTCAAGACCGAAACACTACTGGCTATAGAGTGCAGATTGCAGATTGCACGCTACTCAACGTGAAAAGGAGCAGGGTTGATTGATGTCTGTGTGTGTGTGTGCGCCTATACACACAACTCTCTGTAGTTGCATGTATATGTATTTGGCAAAACCGGGCATCTCAGGGCGTCCTTATCTTAAGAAATGTGAGACAAACATCCATCCCTTTAATCATGTTCATCTTTGATCACCAGCGAGGGTGACACAGTCCACAAAATTAACAAAGAAACTCCCTCGCTTTTGAGAGCAAGCTACACATTCACATCTGGGGCTGCACACACACGCGCGACGTACACACGGACACATGAACACGCAGGCATACACCCCGGCTCCCCGTAAGTAAATTACTGCATAACTTTTCACGTCACTGATGCCAGACACCTCTAATTTTGCATTTTCATTCTTTTGGCCAGCTTTCACGTTAACAATCTAAGCCGTAAATGTTGGTGGCTATTGATCGCAATCCCCTGTGTGCGTGCAAATCCATTTTCAAGTCCCCTGCCTTTAATGTGCGTGTGCGTGTGCAAGGGGCCTCTGCCGGCTCTTTAGCAGGATCTGCCCCCCCAGCCTGCTCGAAGACGACCCCGGATACACAACGTGTGCCGATGGCCAAGGGAAAGCATACGCACACTCACAAAATCGAACCCACCAAACAAACGACGGAGAAGTGGAGAGACAGAGGTCTCTTGTGAGATGCGGAGAAAGATTTGCAACCGAAAGTGTGTGGAAGGACACGGTGGGGGTGTGCAGGCTGGACGTCTGACATTTCCCAAGACTTCTGGTGGGTTTTTCCCTGCCGACATTTGGCTCTGCCTCGCCCCCGGGGCTCATGGCCGCACCTTTCGGGAAATCGAGGTTCGCCGGAGAGCCGCCACCAGTGTCAAACGTTTGGCAGCGCCGGAATTGAAAGCGACAAAAATAATGCATTTTTCACACAGTTGCCGAATCCCCCTGCCAGGCTGTCACCGGCAGTACGTGGGTGCGGGTGCCCGTAGCGCCCTGCGTGCGAACGCACGCGTGGATTTACACGGGAATCCAACCCAGCTGAACTACCTGGCAAATAAAGGACTTTTCAGCCCATCGGGGGTTTTGGTAGCGTCTTCGGAGCAGCTTTCTCTGAGTTTACTGTTCCTTTAGTGTTTACTCCATAGCCTTAACCTTAAAGCAGGGGGAGGAGAGCAGCGGGGAGGGGGTGGGGGTGTTGGCAGCATATAAGTACATCAGGAGGAATTTTTAAACGACCTTATTGTCTCTAGCTCTAGAAAGACTACGATGATTTCTGGTTAGCGCCAGCAGCTGTTTTCTCTCGAAACTTTGCTTGCAGCCTCAGCGTAGACCAGGGTGCCTCTCTCAGGAGCGAGGCAGAGAAAGGCGAGGCTGGGGGATCCAGATGCAAGGCGAGGGGAGGCGAACTCCGCGGATGGTCTGAGCTGTGCCGAGGCATTGTTCACTGCTGCCTCTCGGTTACGTTTAAAGGCTGAAATATCACGAGATCCACTCAATGATCCTTTTCTAATTCGAGGGACAAAATGTAATTTGCCGTAGCTCTGCTTCCTCGGATGGGAACGCTACCCCCGGGTTCCAAAGGGGAGAACTAGGCATCGCGGTTCGCACACACATGGATTAAGTTGAACAGCGGCGATTGCATCTGCGCTGGGAGAGCAACAGTAGTCCAGGGCTGACTTTTCAAACCTCAGCCCTCCGAGTTAGAGGCTTCCTTGAATAGACTTCCTCCATTCCCGGATGCACTGCTCCAAATTCCCACTCCTCTCTAGAATTCCTGCGAAATTGGGGGCTCGCCGGCATTTCGCCTTGGCACGCAAAGCTGCGCCTTCGCAGAGCGATTATGCGCTTTATTTTAGCTCTACCTGACGGGGTAACACGAACTCCACGCACCATATTGCCAATACGAGGAGCGGATATGGACGTTTGGGACTGAAGATTTTTTTTTTTTTTTTTCCCCCCTCGGCCGATTTTTTGCCAAGTCCCAGAAATATGAGATGTCTCATTAATCTCGCGGATATGTCTAATTCGGGCTGTGCAGTGATACAGAAAAGTGCTCGTGTTTGTATCCAGCGGAACACTGGATGCACGGCAGAGATTGGTGATTTTTTTTTTTTTTTTTGCAGCGCCTAACGTGCAAACCGCAAGCATCACTTTAACGTGACAAGGGAGAGGCATGCAGCTATCGCAACATTTGCGAGATCCTCGTTCCTGACGCTCGAATAATTGAACGTTCCTAAGAAGAGGTTAAACCTTCGTGCTGCTTCTTCAAATTGATTTTAAGGGGCTGCTATAAATGGAACATCAAAAAGCTGCGACAGGGCTACTCCGAGCGGAATATGCAAACTGCAAGCCAGAAGCATCCTAGCCCGTTGCAATACCGTACATTGTGTGTGCCAGCACTTTTTTGTTATTACGTAAAGGCTCTTGGAAGCACCTTGGATATTTTACATTCTCCTTTCTCTGCTGGAAGCAATCAGCAGGCAGGAATCCTGACGTGGGCTCTGGGACTATAGGACATTCCAGCTCGTGATCCAGCACGGTTAATCGTGAAAAGTGTATACATTTCTGGCTTATCTATGCTTTGTTATGGGTCTGACGTGAGTCCGCGTCCTCCTCCCCCCCTCCCGCAATATTACAGGCAGAATTTCAGTTAAAAGTCTTACAGTATCACGGTGCGGGAACCCGTGGTATTCAGAAAGCAAAATAACCTTAGTCCCCGGCTGTAAAAAGCTAATTAAGCAGAAGAGGAAAATCAAGAGAAACTCGAAAATGTAAGTATTCCCTCTCGTTAACAACCGAGCATTTAACTTTGGAGCCTCAGAAAGGGAAATACCAGGCTGTTCTGCACGTTTTCGCTAAGCTTCATTTTCCACACAATGCAGAATAAAATGCCAGTTTAAAGCGGCTACGTTACCGAAGGATTTTCCATCGCTACGATCAGACTTATGTCCTTTAAATTCACGGCATGCACAAAAGAGCAACGTTTGTCCAAAACAGGCTAAAAATATACGGAACGATAGGGGGGAAAAAGCATACAAATCCTTCCTCGGAAGCTAGCGACGAGGAAGTCTGAGAGGTCTGAGTGTGTTTGAGCTCGGATTGTTTAATAGAAAGATTTATATACTAACTGTATTATTTACTTTGGGAGGGGAGGTGGCAGTATAAGGGTATGCTAATTAGTGGGAGATTTTTTGGGGGAAGGGGTGGAATATCAATTTTTATTGCATCACCTGTCAGGAGTGTCCAATCAGCGTTGGCTTTAGGGGAATTAATTGATGAAGGTGTCTCCGGACGAGCTCACTTCACTCTGTCATTTTATTTGTAGCTAAAGCAGCGGCGGGAATAGCAGCTGCATTTCTTTTCTCTTCCTCCCTTCACATTCCATTATCATAGTTTCCAATGGAAAAGCAGGGAATGAAAGGGAACAGGTACTGATCTTCAGCAGCAACTTAGAGAAACACTTTGGCAAACCTGATTTTTAAGATTATATATTGATTGTAGCCTCACGGTATTTTTTTAATTTATTTTTTTAATTTTGTCTAAAGTTTGGCACTTCATTCACCAGGAATAACAGCCTTTGTTATATTTTATTAGCAGGATGCCTTGAGACAAATACAGCATCTGGCTGAGGATTGTGTGTGTGTGGCTTTTTATTTTTTTTTTTTTTTTTTTTTTTTTTTTTTTTCATATCTCTCTCTCTCTCTGCAAATGCTGGGAATAATTTAATTCACGAAATGGGAGACCTGAAGTCGGGTTTTGAAGAGGTGGATGGCGTGAGGCTCGGCTACCTCATCATTAAAGGAAAGCAAATGTTTGCACTCTCCCAGGTTTTTACAGACCTGCTCAAAAACATCCCGCGAACTACCGTGCACAAGCGAATGGATCATTTAAAAGTAAAAAAGCATCACTGCGACCTGGAGGAGTTGAGGAAACTCAAAGCCATCAACTCCATCGCTTTCCATGCCGCCAAATGCACCCTGATCTCCAGAGAGGACGTGGAAGCCCTTTACACATCCTGCAAAACCGAACGGGTCCTTAAGACGAAACGGAGGAAAATAAGCCGGGCACTGTCAGCCACCGACCTCCGGCCGGAGCTCGCACCCACCGACCCCTTCACCGGCTTCTGGAAGGAGAACAAACTTTGGCTGGGCTTGAATGACTCTCCCCGGCCCCTGCTGCCCATCAGGAGGAAAGCTCTGCGTCCGGGAGACACAGCCTTGCTACCGGCCTCTCATCTACCTCACATTTTTAGTAAATACACTGGCCACAGCTACCCAGAAATCGCTCGGGCGCCTTGCAAACCCCCCGTAAACTATGAAACGG